AGGTAGGTAGGTAGGTAGGTGTGCATTTATGGATGTCTGTCTGTCTCTGTATATATGTCTGTATGTCTCTATTTCCATATGTGTCTGTGTCTATGAGAATGTATGCCTCTATGTCTGTATGCCTCTATGTCTATATGTATTTATGTATGTATATGTATCTAAACATAGTAATACATATATATATATGCATATATATATATATACATGCATATGCATAATTATGCATGTGCATGCATGCATGCATGTATGTACGTACGTACATACGTATGTGTGTGCATATGCACATGCATCTGTGAGTCTGCATACACACACACAATTCACCTATATACATATATACACATACATGTACATGTGTATATATATATATACACATGTACATATGTACACATATAGGTACACACATTCGCTTAAGAGTGTGTAACAGTATAGACATGCACATCTTCGCTTTGCTCCGAGCATATTCGACTACTCGCTGCATGCCTCCTCATGACAGTGGCAGGGTTAGGGTTGTGCTCCGAAACGCAGAGTTGGTGCATGAACCTTGAACATGGAACCCTGAATCGTGACACCTTCAACCCTTGAGTCTCGAGTTTACGACCGTCAGACCCGTTGGCACAAAACGCTCGGCCACCAGAACCAATATTCGCACAGTTACAATCCCTAAATGCTAAACCCTAAACCCTAAACCCTCGCCGCAAGATTCGGAAAGACCTATCGAAAGCCCTCACGCTGCACCCCCCCAAGCGCATCGAGGAGAAGGCAAAGCTCGGGCAGCGGAGTTGTGGCTGGTTCGCAAAGCCTGGTTTTCGGGTCGAAGCTTCAGGGAAACCCTAAATCACCAAACCCTAAACCCTAAATCCTAAACCCTAAATCCTAAATCCTAAACCCTAAACCCTAAATCCTAAACCCTAAATCCTAAACTCTAAGCCCTAAACCCTAAACCCCTTAGGGCTGACGTTTTCGATGGAGAGCCGACGTCCAATCTGTGAGGAGATCCGAACCCTCAAGGCCGTTGCTCCAAAGACACTCCGGTTTAGGGTTTGGGGTTTGGGTTTTAGGGTTTTTAGGGCTTTGGGTTTTGGGCTTGGGGTTTGAGGGTTTTGGGTTTTGGGTTATAGGGCTTTAGGGTTTTGGGTTTAGGGTTTTTGGGGTTTTAGGGTTTTGGGTTTTGGGGTTTAGGATTTTGGGCAGGGTTTAGGGTTTAGGGTCAATACAACAAACATGCATAACATCAACGCGATACTCGTCACAGCAGAGTGCTAAGAACTAGTCTGGGGCAAGGCTTTAGGCTCCCGCATTCTGTGTTCAACGCTTAGGGTTCAGCGTTTGCGGCTCAACGCTTCGGGTGCAAAGCTAGGAGGGCTTAGGGCTAAGAGCTC